TGAGCAAATCTAGAAAGTGAAATTCAGTTTTGGGAAATCATAGTTCCCACACTCATCTATTATTGAACTGTAGTTCAGTATTTATACAAAGCATAAGGGTAAAAAGGTAAAACCGTGTGTAACTAATTGAGAACTAATTACCAACTAATTACCAACATTTAAACAAACTAACTGACTAGTTATTATTTAACCAAATAACTCCATAAAACATGGTGATTCTACCACCTTCATCCTACTCCACCGCACCACCCAAAAAACTTCTATCGCCAAAATTGAAAGGTAAGTATGATTTTAAATCCTTATTTCTTGGTTTACATTCAATTTCTTGAATCTTGTTTCTTGGTTTACATTCAATTTATTGATCCTTATCTCTTGGTTTACATTCAATTTCTTGAATCTTATCTTTTATGCTAATCTTTCTTGTTTAGATGTCGCGAAAATATATCCATCTCCACCATCCTCCACGACTTCCTCTGCCGCACCACTCCTTGATCATTCACCACAATTTTTTTGTCCTTGTTTTACTCCATAGGTGGCCTCGAGTAAAGATTCGAAAATCTAATTAAAAGGAACACTATAAATCTATAAAAAATTGAAAATTTGAAAAACAGAAAATATCATAAAAAATAAAGAAAGAAACTGAAAAAAAGTTTTTAAAAAAGGGGATATTCTAAAAAAAAAAAATGATAACGAAATACCATAAAAAGGAAAAATACTAATAAAATCTAAAAACTGAAATAAGTAAATAAAACTGAAAATCTAAAAAAAAAAAAATCACTGAAAATCCAATAAGAAAATGAAAAAAAAAAATCAAAGTAGCAATTGAAGAACATAAAATTGAACTATAGAATTGTCTAACACAACACTTCTGACATGTGCCCTGTAAATTTCAAAAAAAATTGAAAAATCTTGTCTTGTGTTGCAACTTATTGAAGTATAGAATTGTCTAACAAAGTAACAATCTAAATACCATGCTAACTAATACATTAACCAGCTTTTAAAAAATACATTTGAGGGACCTTGAACTTGTGGCCTTGAGTGTTCTAGAGGATTAGTAATTCATAGTCTCATTCTGAAATCTAATATAGAAGTTATTTTAGTTGAGAAGTCATTACACTAGCTAGGCTAGTCCAGTTGAAAATGGTTACCTACATTGATGTGTGAAGTCACCCGAAGTAATTTGATACTATGCATTTCAAATAAATAGTATACCAATGAAGAAGGCTACCTTAGTGATACGAGTAAAAGCTACAATCTGAAATCTCGGAAAAAGTTACCTACATTGATGTGTGAGTAATTTGAGCCTATGTATCACAAATATTTAGAAGACGATCTACTAGGAAAGAGGGCTACCTCAATGATAAAGTGAAAACTACCGACTTATTAAAAAAGCTACCTTCACTAAGGAGTGAAAGTCAGCATTGAGTGGTTAAAATCTATATATATGAAGTATGTAGGAAATAATTACTAAGGTAGAAGCTACCTCAATGCTAGAGTAAAAAGTTATTGATTGCGATAAAAAGCCTAATTAAGTCTTGGATGCTAATGAGGATCAAGATGATTAGTTAGTTTGACTTGCTTGGAATGGACTTTGAAGCTAAAATTTCAGAAGTTGAAGAGATCAAGGGAAGATTGATGAGTTACTGATCATCAAAAACACTTACATCTACAAGTTCGTATTGTTATCCAGTAAAAAGTTAGGCTAATATACTAATGATTGTCTTAAGAAAAAAAAAAAAATTAACTCCACCTGTATCTTGTGAAGTTGAGCATCACACAGCCGGTCCCAATCCCAGATTGAGGAGGAGGGTTTTTTGTTTTTTCATCCTTGCACAAATGCTTAATTGCTAGCTATTCTGTCTGTTGATTTATCTGAATCTACAGCTAGCAGTGTGTTAGCTTAATTGCTAAATCTTTGCCTTTGGACTTTGATCCAAAGATCATGTTTTGTACTTCTGTGTAGTTCCTTGCACCTTCACTCATAATTTGACATGGCATTCTTGCCTGTTTATTTTGCGCTTCGCATATTTCTAGGGACGATCATAGAAGTGATGACCATGACAAAAATTGCAGTAATCAGTTGAAAGAGTATCATATTGACAGTAGAATAAGATATGGATTATTTTATGTGTACACTTTGTGGTGTACACAATCTTTTACACCCTTTTCACATGGAGGGGGACCCGCAAATATTTTATTGTATGTGGGCCCCCCTCCATGTGAGGGGGGTGTAAAAGATTGTGTACACCACAAGGTGTACACATAGAATAATCCATTCTGTCTTGGTTTTTTGTCTGTGAGCTGAAGTCTCATT